TGTTTGTGCTGCAGGGGCACAGAGAGCGTGTGTGTGTGTGTGTGTGTGTGTGTGTGTGTGTGTGTGTGTGTCCTACCATGTCACTGATCTGCACGTGGCCGTAACTGAAGACGATGGCGTTGGGGGGGTTCCCAACAGGAAGCATGACCCCGAACGACACACACATCGTGGTGGGGATCAGAGTGTGGAGGGGGTTGATCTGCAGGGTCTCTGACTGGGGGGGGGCAGAGGGGGGGTTAAGAAAATATATGTCAGAGAATATATTCTCTCCCTGTGTGTGTGTGTGTGTGTGTGTGTGTGTGTGTGTACCAGTGCAGACAGGATGGGCAGGAACACGGTCAGCGTGGCAGCGTTGGACGCCACCTCAGTGACCGCCGACACCAGCAGACAGGCCAGCAGGGTGACGGTCCAGGGGGGGAGACCGCTCATGGGCTCCAGCTGTCGGCCGATCCACATGGACAGACCAGAGACCTGGGACGGAGGAACCACGTGGGTGGAGAAGGAGACAGAACTGCCCCCCCCTCCCCCGGGGTACTTACCTTACAGCCAGCGGCCAGGGCGTAGCCCCCTCCCACCAGGATGACGATCTCCCAGGGCATCAGTCTCTGGAAGTCCTTCCAGGTGATCATGGGAGCCAGTGGGTCGGAATCTGCCCCGGTGGAATCAGAGACGGACCCGTTTAGTTTTACGGTTCTGACGTTCATTTTCTTTGATGACCCCGATGACCCCCGATGACCCCTGAGGTCAAATCACAGCCACCACTGACCTGAGCCGGACGATGAGGACGAGGAGAAGGGTCGTCTGGCTGGGATGAGGAAGAGCAGGAAGCCCAGAAGAAGCGACACCGTGGCGTCGGTTCTGTAGCCTTTCCTGAGGAGAACCACGTTCAGAAGATGATCATTTCCGACACATCGCAACTTGACGGATCGTCGGTCACTCACTTCTCAAAGAGCGAGGTCCAGCCTGGGACGAAGCCCGGTTCTCTGGTGAACCACAGCAGCGTCATCAGGAGGAAGAAGACGGCGGTGACGACCTCAGGGTAACTGAGGGGCAGAGGGGGGGAGGGGGGAGG